ATACATCTGCACCAATCGGTTTCCGGTTTGCTTAGCGGTCGTTCTTCCTTCCACTAATTCGAACCCGTGAAGCATTTTGCGGACGGACAGACATACATATATATACATACATACAAACCGACACACAAAGTTACTGGTTTATAGAATAGAAGGATATGGTGCCCTTGTGGGCGGTCATCGTAGCTCCTACCATTGCCCCTTCCTCGTACTTATTGTCTGTATGCTCCGTGAAAACGTGTATGAAGCTTGCCATGGATGTCCAAAGCGTGGCGACTTGTGGTTGGCCCCCATGATCACAAGAGGATCACAACGGTGAAACTTTCTAGAAAGGAAATGTTTCAGAAATCGTTCAATCCAGGTAACAAGAGCCAACCTAGCTCTACTCATTCCCACTTCCCCCTCTCCGAGAGTTTTACTTTCAACGAAGTTCAAAAGAGGGGTACTTTTCGAGTGTTTGGCTTGAAATTGGCTCCAGGTCGTAAAATAGCGCGCACCAATGCGCTTGTATTAGCGTGGGAATTGCACTCCTCGCGTGCGGCTGACCGCGAACAACTAGCATGCAGGCGCCATTGTTTCGCACAGCTGGGTCTACGGGCTTTTGTCAACCGCGGCAATGGGTGACTCAGCAATTTGTCGCGTCGTCGGTCGTCTCGCACACTCTCGTCGACGCTGCGTCTCCGCTTAGAAAGGCTAGAGCGTAGACAGAAAGGCATCCACCGATCCCGATTGCCGACGATCACCAGTTCACGTGATTGTTGCGTGCTTTGCTCGTGTTAGGTCACTCTCCGATGCTAATCATTCGTTAAAAAAATAGGAAATCAAGAAGATCTTAACTATAAGAAGGAACACATTCCTTCTCGCTTCTTACTTCAAGTATTATTCTTGAAGTGGAATTGGTGTTTGTTGGAAAACAATTGTGGGAATCACCATGCGATTCATCTTTAACCGTTTACAGATCCAAAAGCAACGGGAATGCAGCGCATTTGTTCTCTCGTTCAGAAGCTGGGAGGGAATGAAAGGGGGTGGTGATCTATTGACCAAGAGTTTTGTTCTGCCATGCGATTCATCACACTGCATTTATCAGAGAACTTTTATAACCAGTATAAGTTGCGGCACAGTAGTGCGGATATATGATTCATACCGTATCCAAGAGGGACTGTCTGCCCTTAGATTTAGCTTGTAAAAGCTTCCGAAACACCCTCTGAATATTCCTTGTATGAACTGTCGAACTACATGGATGTTGCAAGTAGGGACTGTCGAGACACTTGCAGCATGTAGATGATTTATCAGGCTATCTTTTCCGATCCCGGAAAGCACAGCACTTTCGGGCGAGGAGTGCGAGATTACACGGTCTGTAGGAGTCAGTTGTTATCCTTTCTATAGCACCTTCTATAGCACTCCCATTTCATTCAGGTTTGCAGAGACAATGGAGTGCATAGAATGATCTGCTCCTGACTAATGCTTAGTCTATAAATTGTCGTCTCAGAGCGCATGTCAAGAACTACCTACCTATCACTTTGCGTAGTTTTCGTAACTAGCTATCATTCCTGTTATTGAAGCCGTCCACCTTTCCCCTTGTTTCAGTTTTGAATCCTGTTGACCTTGAAATTCACCCTCCAGTCGCCACTGACACAAAATAAGGGACAAATAGTGAATCCTCAAGGTGTTCTCATTCAATCTTAAGCCTCTCGTGGCTGAAATCACTTCACGTGTCTTCTCCTTACGAGAGATGGCTTTGCAGGAGAGGAGAGACGACGAGCGTACACGCCCATCTCCCGGCGACGGCCGACACACGTCATAACTGCCTCGTCGTCTAATTCTCATAGCTAGAGAAATTTCGGTTGACATCTGCCCCGTAACCGCACAGCTGCGGCTGCGTGCCATTGCGTACGCTGCGGATCTACAGTAACCTCATGCCTAGTTCCATTACTCGTTGGGGACGTAGCATCTTAATGAATTCTGTTGATGTGTATCTTTTTTGTGGGCTGAACCCTTTTAGTGTAGAGTTCACTTTCAGACTTCCAGACGCTGTTCAGTGGTATATGGATACGAAAATTTTGAATATTAAAGGTCCCGAACATT